TTCGCAAGAGCTTTAACATTTCCTTGGTGAAAACTGTTGCCCAATCAGTCCTTACTCTCCCCCCCCCTACGAGGAAATTTACGTCCCTATTACTAACCGATGAGAAGATCCTTGGTTTTAAATGTCACAGAAAAAAACAGTGAAGAAGAATAAGATAATATATATATATATATATATGTATGTAATACAAAAATTATAAATACTTTTGTATTAATAAAAGTATTAAAACTCTTTTCATAAAATGTCTTTGGTAAAGAATAGGTGTAGAGATATTCTATTTTGGAACTTCGAGGCTGAAAACATACCAATGAATAATAATTAGATTTATATTTCAAAGGAGTTATTTTTAGAATCTTCTCCTCTTTCACTTCCATATTAGGAAGCATTAAATGATTTTCCTTAACGCGTAGGGTTACAAGGTATGCGACGATTGAGCCTTTTCACTCTTTCTGTGTTAGTATTTCATGCGTGAGCGATTGTTTTCGCATGACTCTTGCTGTATAATGGATTCCATGTAAGATCTGCTGGAACCATCCGGGATTTTGTCCACCCCCTCCCTAGTGGAGAGTGGATGTGAAATGTTTTAGCCACCAGCCTACCCGTAAATAAAGCTAATGAAGGAATAATTGGCTCACGACTGAATAATTTAAGCTAATTGCAACCAATGATAACAGGGATGTAGCCCTGTTATCACGCACACATATATATATATTTCGGGCAAATCCATGGTTAAAATTACGTGCAAAACAGGCAATTCATGTTTCTCTTTTATATTTTATATTTATTTCTTAAATAATTATTCACTTTCTAAAATTATTCATGGTCAACTTCTCTAAATTATCCAGTATAACATTACCTTGCGCACATCCATTTTCGGGCTCATCCTTGGTAACTAACAAATCAAACGCACTTCAGCAATGCAGTAAGAACGGCGCTTTGAAACAAAACTCCTCTAGTTACGCTCAATTTTCGCTTTTGTTTTCATTTTTTGCAATCTGGCAATCTTGTTACGAAAATATTTTAAATCATTCTTGAAAAATTTCCCATTCATGTAAGTACATTTGAATTCGCTACTCGCTTTATAGATTATGTTGCATGCTTTATTCTCTTTTTTCTTTTTCTTTTATTTTATTTTCTGTTTTTACGTGTTATTTTTACTTATTGTGTTCTATTTTATTTGTTGTAATTTTTGTAAAATTTTTTTTGAGTGTTCCTTACACTATTGTATTGATATATTTTTCTTTGGCTATATTGATACAATATCAGAAAGCACTCTTTTTTTGCGGATCTAATCGTGTGGGCTGATGAAAAGATATATATATATATATATATAAAGTAAAGGACGGGAGAGAGACTCTCTATCGCTAAAAAGCTATTTAAGACAGTTCTTGAAATAAAAGAAAATTATGACTTATGGGCAAAAACAAACATTTTGAAAATCATGGAAATTATATAAGAATGAATGAAATTAGACGTTCTACAGGGTGTCCCAAAAGGTCGTTTACAAACTTAACATGCTGGTCTGTCATGTCATGATGAACAAGATTTACATAGGAACTTGTGTCCGAAAATTAAAACTGAGACCGCTAGAAGGTGATAAGTGCAGGTTTGGATGAGGAGAAAAAAAATGATAGCGATAGCGGTGTTAATATGATTTTTATTATAAAACATCATTACATCACAGCAAATGCTCAAAATTCCTTCCATTCGCCACAATGCACGTTTCACAGCGTCGGCGCATGGATTCACGAACCCGTTCAAATTGGCCAGGAGTGTCACGGACACGTGCTGCCGCTTCCGCGATCCTGGCGATAAGATCCATGTCCGATGTTACAGGTGTCTCGTACACTATGGACTTCATGTGTCCCCACAGGTAGAAATCCAGGGGAGTCAGGTCGGGGGATCGCGGCGGCCATGGGACTGGTCCGCCTCTACCGATCCAGCGATTAGGATAAATCCTATCGAGGTATTCTCGAACAGCGTAGCTAAAGTGGGCAGGCGCTCCATCATGCTGAAACCAGATGTTTCGGCGTGTAGCGGCTGGAACGTCACCCATCAGATCCGGCAAAACTCTTTCTAAAAAAATGCGATAGGTATTTCCGTCGAGGCGTTCAGGTAGAAGGTAAGGGCCAATCAACATGTCACCGATAATACCAGCCCAAACGTTTACGCTGAAACGTTGTTGATGTGCATGGGCACGTGTACATCTTGGGTTTTCATGCGCCCATACGTGCATGTTGTGCAGGTTCACGACACCATCCCGTGTAAAGCAGGATTCATCAGAAAACAAAATCCATGATGGAAAATCTGGCTGTGCGACCCGCTGTTGCAAATACCAGCGTGAGAATGCAATGCGTTTGGGATAATCGTCAGCGCACAATGCCTGTACTTTTTGGAAGTGGTAAGGGTGTTGCATGTCATCGTGCAGTATGCGCATTATGGTGGAACGAGCTACACCCAAGACACGTTCGCCTTCTCGGAGACTTCTTTGCGGGTTGATGGCATACTCCTGTAGCACGGTTTCCTCTACGACAGGTGTGCGTGTAGCACGTTCTCGACCGATGTGGCTACGTGCTACGAAAGCACCTGATTCACATAATCTGCGGTGCAATCGTCCAAACAAAACATGACTTGGCTGACGTCTGTTTGGGAAGCGCTCAAGGTACGTCCGTGCCGCGGCTCGTCCATTTCCATCAGCGGCGCCGTATACGTAATGCATGTCGGCCATTTCTGCGTTACTAAACTCATTCATCCTTCTCCTTCAACGTCCACGCCTGAAATGATTGTTTTTCCCACTCTCCCGTTTTCGTGCAATTATCGCCCTCTAGCGGTCGCAGTTTTAATTTTCGGACACAAGTTCCTAGGTAAATCTTGTTCACCATGATATGACAGACCAGCATATTAAGTTTGTAAACGACCTTTTGGGACACCCTGTATAGTGAGAGTTATTTATTTATGTTGTTCTGATTATGATCGATAATTTATTAAAAGAATCTTAATAAAATAACAGAAATACAAAAAAATCATTTTTGAATCAAAAGTTTTTAATCTTCACTCGTGAAACAAATGTTACAATGGAACGTAACAAAAATGCGGCCATTTCCCCCCCTTTCTGGTCACAACAGCTTCGCGAAACTGTATCTTTTTTGTTAATGGCGCAACATGTCACGTGATCCAGTGTTGTGTAATGGTTTAGATATTTATATTAGAGAAGGATTTTGTTCTTCTAAGAACACAAATATTGGCTTGCTGTTGACGATATATGTGGTTTATAAAAGAATTTGATTAACTTACAGATTTAACATTCCAATATATAAGAGCATATGTTGTTTATTGTTACAATACGACCCTTCTCACGGCAGAAAGTGAGTCTATCAACCCCCTCGTCTCGAAGCCTCTGATTCTCCCTACTTTACAGCCGGTAACTATTGCTTTTAAGTGAAGGGTTAATGACAGATGAAACAGGAAAATATTCTACGAAATACGAAAAGTACGTGTCGCACAAGAGAAATTAAGAGGCTTTCTGTTCAACCTTGCAATTAGTTTCGTATTCGATTATTTATGATCATATTCGATGGGATAAAAGCAATATCAAGGTAATATATATACCAAATCTGAAAGGAAAAAAATTCCCAGTGTTTTCCCTAGACACAATATATTAAGAAGAAACACACAGTCACTGAAGCTCTTGTATAAGCTGTATTGGGCAAACTAAACTAGTTATAATTGCTGAAAAAACTTAAGGAAAAAAGGAATAGCTGAATATACTGAAAACAAATAATGGTATAGTAAATGAACTAGCTTAATATAGCAGAAATATCATCCTTAAATATTCCATAGAGTTTAATATTCCACTGTGATTGCGCACTATCTTGTAAAAGATGAAAATAACAGGTAAAATTCCATGTATTTTCCTAGTTTCTTAAGAAGAAAAAAAATCAAAATTCTCTGCATTTTCCCTGTTATTTTAGGTAAATTCCCTCCATTTTCCAGGTTTTCCCTGTGGAGTGGCAATGTTATCCTAGGGCAGGGGTTGCCAAACTTTTTTAATCATCGACCCCTACATAATTTTTCGAAATCTCCATCGACCTCCATAAAAAGTAATTTTCTGTTAATTAAAATAAAACTCTATTAGATACTCTGTTTGTACATTTATTTTATGATTTTGAACATTTATTAAAGTAATAGTACATAGGATAACAATAGTTTTACGAAAAATATATTAATGTTCAAACATAAATACCTTAATATTTATGAAATAATACGTAATTATAAGTAAGTAGAAATAATAAGTGAAGTAACTACGGATTTATTGCTTCTTAATCAATGACATGGGTGTGCCTGGTGTTTTTTTTTTCTGCAAGGTTCGTTATATTGGGTTCAAAATTGGTCAATTTTAATCTTAAATCCCCTCGAAACTCCACATTTAATTTATTTCTGTTCTTAGTTAAGATTGAATTTACGTGACTGAAACCGGCTTCAACCATATAGGAACTTGGAAATGCTATCATAAATGGCTGAGCTATTTCGTAAAGTCTTACATATTTTTGCATTATATTTATATTTGTCCAAAATTTGCTTATTGTTAAATTTTTAAAAAGCGTCTTTGCTTCAAATCCCCATAATAATTCAGCAAGCTCATCTTGCAGGTTGATGTCCACGTTTTCAATTTGAGCAGAAAATGGCACAATAATCCAATCAGGGAAGTCAATGTTTTCCAAATCAACAAAACGCAGTTTGAAATCGTCGCTCAATTTTTGAAGATTACCTGTGTATATTGCCAAGTCTTCTTTTATTTCTAATTGTCACATATCTGAAAAATACTGATAATCCTTCGACCCATCGACCCTTCCGGTTCGGATCGACCCCCTGGCTCAGATCAACCCCCGTTTATGTTAAATAGACCCCTGGGGGTCTATATAGACCACTTTGGCGACCTCTGTCCTAGGGTGACTGTTAGGGAAAAAATACATGAAAAATGTACGTTTTATGCAAATTACCGTGAATGATGTTTTCTATGCGTGGAGAGAATCCTTCATCACAACCTCCGACCACAGAGAAGCCGAACCTTTTATCGTTTGCATCTAAACTTATTTCCACCAAATCCTTCTCTACTGTAGTCTGTAAAGAGAAAACATGGATCATTCATTTCTCACACCAGCAAGATCTTTTGAAACCATCCCAAGCAAAATAAGGTTTATTTTCACTCAGCAAAAACCTTTTCATGTAAACCTAAAAAGGTTTTTTTTATGCGGTTTACGTGTAAACCTTCTAACCTTAATGCTCAGCTAAAACACGCCTTGTCATGAAATTTTAATGGACAAATGCAATTGGATCCCATGGCTTGTGTGACGTCAGCTAAAGAGTCATTAAGTGACAATACTTTTTAAAAACAATCCTTAAAAATAATTTTTTAACCCTTTTAGGATGAAATGTTTGAAACTGCACTATTTTTGCTTTATTGAAAAAAAGTTTTTTAGTGCAAACATTTTCGTGAGACTAAAAAGAAGACGCATGCTTTCTGGGAGCCCTACATACAAGGCCAAAACCAGTGATATGGAGCATATTAATGGGCATCGTTCATCACAGTCCCAAAGGTGTGTTCTATGAGATGTTCAGTTTTCGAACAACCATTTTGTTTGCCTTGATGTTGGAAACGAGAAATGGCCTGAAATATATTGCCAGAGTTTCCTAACACTCCCCATGCTTCCATCACTATAACAACCGGGGATACTTTTGTCCACATATCCAGAAAGCATGTAACCTTACGACAACCTTTTCTTTTAAGTCTCACGAAAATCTTTAGACCAAAAACCTTTTTTCAATCAAACAAAAATAGTGTAGTTTCAAACCTTTCATTCGGAAAGAATTAAAAATTGCTTTTGTTAAAGTTTTATTCAAAAGTAGTGACGTTTCAGGTGACGTCATACTAGCGATACGATCCAATGGCATTGTCCATTCAAATTTCGTGACAAGGTGGATTTAACTGGGCATACAAGACGTTGCGAAAAGAAACCTTATAATGACCTAGATTTAAGATCACCTTGAAACTCGCTTGATTCAAGGTTTTTTTCACGCTTGAAAACCCTAAGACAACCTCGATTTAAGATTTTTTATAGGGAAGGTTGTTTTCCAAGGTTTCGTTGATTGATTTGTTCATTTCACGTCGCACTAGAGCTGCACAATGGGCTATTGGCGACGGTCTGGCAAACATCCCTGAGGATGATCCGAAGCCATGCCATCACAATTTTTATCCTCTGCAGAGAGGGGATGTCACCCCCGCTTCGGTAGCCCGACGACCTGCACGCGAAGTCGAGCACTTTACGGTGGAACAGTTTAACGAGGACCCATACCGCACACCCTCGGTCCCTACGCAGACAGATCCAAGTGGGTCACCCATCCGCACACTGACCGCAACCAGGGATGCTTGACTTCGGTGATCTGCTGGGAACCGTGTCTTAACGATCAGTCCACTGCGGGACTGCAAGGTTTCGAATGACGGTAATGTGCGTAGCAGATGGTCATAGATCTCGTTTTAAGGTTAGAAGGTTTACACGTAAACCGCAGCCTTTTTAGGTTTAGATTGAAAAGTTTTTGCTCAGTGAAAGTAAACCTTATTTTGCTATGTGTAGCAGCTCTTAAAAGATTTTAGCATAATTTGATGACGCCTTATTAAATATGCTCCAATTCACAATCAGTAAAGAATGAGAAGGAAAGAAAAGAATGAGTGAAGGAATTGGATTAAGTGAATAACATATTCACTCGTTGATCAATTCGCTGTTAAAATGACTAGATTTTATTGATTTGTTACTTGAGTCTATGTAAGTTGTAAGCCAGATTTTAATTGATGTATTATTACCTTAGCTATAGTCTATATCGGCGTTCATTTCTATTCGACGGTTTCACGTGGATAAATGACAGATCCTAGGAAATGACTAAAACATGTATCAAATACTAAGTTGCTCGAAAGTTGTCCAAATTCTAAAAAAGGGATCTTTTCCATTTAAGTCATCCAAGCCTTTCAAAAAGATACTTTTTCGAAGATTCTTTCACTCTATATTTAACACAAGGAATGATGCACAAATGTATCACGGTTGCAGTAAACAAATAAATCAAATTTAAGTGCACTGATAAAGATTAGCTGACGTGGGTATGGAGGGTCTTCTTCTTAAAGCTGCAATAACTTACAAACAACTTAAAACTTCAAAAAAAAAAAAAAGCTCTTTTGTTCATAAACATAAATTGCTCTTTTAACGCCATACATTCCAGTAAGGGCTGCACGTCAAGTCACTGGTTTCATTCCTACGGCTTGTTGAGTGGCCCACATGGTATTTTTTGCTACCATCTCGAACTAATAATCGAAAGTTTAGACAACAAAACAAAATGATTTATTAATGTATGCTGTGCGAACCGCGATGATTCAGAGGATACAGCGTTCTACTTCCAATGAGGTGACCCGGGTTTGAATCCCAGCGATGGCTGATCGATACATAGGCTAACAGTGTTCGTGGTTTTTTCCTCCATAAAACGCTAATGCTTGGTTAGTTTCTCCCACTATTTGATTGGGTTTCATCGACGGTTATAAAATAAAATGGAGAGTGTTATACAGGAAACTCTTGTATTAGAATAACTAATACTAGCCTTAATTGCTGGAACTCAACATATTTAATTAATAATTTAGTATCGCTGATCTTTAATTATTCCATAGATTGACATTTTGTAAAAGATGAAAACCAAAATTCCCCGTTATTTTTGGAGATTCCCTGTATATTCCCGTGTTCTCTCTCTGGAGTGTTTAATAACAGAGAAGGAAAGAAAAACAATTATCGGTTCATTCAGCAGAACAGTGCGGTCGAATGTCAACACAACGAGGAAAGAAGTCGGTCACTGACCGAATAGAATAAGGGTCGATGGAGGAAATAATGTTCAATTAGCGATGGGTTCATTATTAAATAAATAAGTCTATCTTTTATGCCATTCATATTTCGAAATTCAGCTAAAACAGAAGAAATGCGTATTAGATTCTAATCTGAAAAGCTATCAGCGCTTCATGATTGCACTTCTATGTATAAGTATATAATATATATATATGTAAAATGATGCAGTCGGACCGAGCAGGAAAACAGACACAGGATTTTAATTAAATCAGAGTAACTTTTATTTGATCATTCTTAGTTGAGTGGGAGCGAAGAAGTGATGTTTACTCCATCAGCAAACAGTCTTTCTGGTAGGGAAAATCTTGCAAAAAATCCTAAAATGTCTCTATTTAGGGAAAAGAGGGAAATCTCAGAAATTACAATTGGTTAATGAACTTGCTCGAGTGATTCCCACGGCTTAAAAGGGAAAAAAGATCTTTATTTAAATGTATGCATACTTTGGCTAAAAATAGATTTAGAAACAGGATGTGGCTTTTAAAAGTGTGAGAAAGTATTTCAAATAGAATAATTAATTAGTAATAAAGTAGGAGTTGTTTTATAGCAAAGAAACTAACATAAAAAGATTAATA